GGAATAATGGGGGAAATAATGGGGGAATGATGGGGGAATTAATGGGGAAATGATGGGAGAATAATGGGGGAATAATGGGGGAATAATGGGGAATTAATGGGGGAATAATGGGGAATAATGGGGGAAAATAATGGGGGAAAACCCTTCTGAAATTCCCCATTTTTCCCTTAAACCCCCAAATTTCCCCTAAAATCCCCCAATTTCCCCAGAATTCCCGGTTCCCCACCTGCTCCTCAAGCTCCACATTCCCCATTTAGAATGCCCAAATTTCCCCCTAAAATCCCCAAATCTCCCTCAGAATTCCCAGCTCCCCACCTGCTCCTCGCTCTCCACAGGTACCCAGGTGAGGTTGGGCACGTGCAGCTCCACATTCCCCATTTAGAATCCCCAAATCTCCCCCAAATCCTGGCTCCCCACCTGCTCCTCGCTCCCCACAGGTACCCAGGTGAGGTTGGGCACGTGCAGCTCCACATTCCCCATTTAGAATCCCCAAATCTCCCCAGAATTCCCAGTTCCCCACCTGCTCCTCGCTCTCCACGGGCACCCAGGTGAGGTTGGGCACCTGCAGCTCCACATTCCCCATTATAGGATCCCCAAATCTCCCCAGAATTCCCAGTTCCCCACCTGCTCCTCGCTCTCCACGGGTACCCAGGTGAGGTTGGGCACGTGCAGCTCCACATTCCCCATTTAGAACCCCCAGAATTCCTGGTTCCCCACCTGCTCCTCAAGCTCCACATTCCCCATTTAGAATGCCCCAATTTTCCCCTAAAATCCCCAAATTTCCCCAAAATCCCAGCTCCCCACCTGCTCCTCGCTCTCCACGGGCACCCAGGTGAGGTTGGGCACGTGCAGCTCCACATTCCCCATTTAGAACCCCCAATTTCTCCCCAGAATTCCCAGTTCCCCACCTGCTCCTCGCTCTCCACAGGTACCCAGGTGAGGTTGGGCACCTGCAGCTCCACATTCCCCATTTAGAATCCCCAAATCTCCCCAGAATTCCCAGTTCCCCACCTGCTCCTCGCTCTCCACAGGTACCCAGGTGAGGTTGGGCACGTGCAGCTCCACATTCCCCATTTAGAACCCCCAGAATTCCCAGTTCCCCACCTGCTCCTCACTCTCCACAGGCACCCAGGTGAGGTTGGGCACGTGCAGCTCGTCGCTGTCGGGTGCCAGCCTGCGGATCTCCAGCTCGGAGCCGCGCTCGCCCTTGGCCAGCAGCAGGTCCCGCAGGCCCTCGTTGTAGATCTCCAGGAAGCTGGCGGAGAAGCCGTACTGAGGGCGGGGCCGTGCCCGCCGTGCCCGCCCCGCGCCCGCCCCGCGCCCCCGGGGGCTCCAGGGGCTGGGGGGTACCTGCCAGCCCTTGCCCGCCAGGTCCTGGGCGCCGCGGAACAGGTGGCGCACGGCCCGCGGGATCATCCCCCGCGACTCGGGGGCGCCGGGCGGAGCGGGGCCCTCCATGGTGAAGGTTTTGCCGCTGCCCGTCTGCCCGTAGGCGAAGATGCACACGGGGTACCCGTCCAGCGCCGACTGGGAAAGAAAATTCCGGAATTCAGGGGGTTTGGGAATGGTTCAGAGGGATTTGGGAACGCTCAGAGGGTTTGGGAATGGCCAGGGGGGTTTGGGAGCGCTCAGGCCATTCATTCATTGCCAGGGATCATCCCCAGGATTTGGGGCTGCCAGGGGCACAGGACCCTCCATGGTGAAGGTTTTGCCGCTGCCCCTCTGCCCGTAGGCGAAGATGCACACGGGGGACCAGCCAGGGCCGACTGGGAAAGAAAATTCCAGAATTCAGGGGGGTTGGGAATGGGAATTGCAGAATTGGGAATGGGCACAGGGAACATTGACACGTCCGGGGCCAGCTGGGAACAGGAATTTGGGAATTCAGGGGGTTTGGGATGGGCAAAGGGAACATTGACACGTCCACGGCCAACTGGGAACGGGAGTTGGGAATGGTCAGGGGGGTTTGGGATGGGCACAGGGAACATTGACACATCCAGGGCCAAATGAAATGGGGATTTAGGGGATTTAGGAACACTCAGAGGGGTTTGGGAATGGGCACAGGGAACATTGACCCATCCAGGGCTGAATGGGAAAGAAAATTCCATAATTCAGAGGGGTTTGGGATGAGCAGGAGAGGTTTGGGATGGGCAAAGAGAACATTGACACGTCCAGGGCCAACTGGGAAGGGGATTTTGGGAATTCAGTGGGTTTGGGAATTGGTTCAGAGGGATTTGGGACCGCTCAAGAGGGTTTGGGATGTGCACAGGGAACATTGACCTGTCCAGGGCTGACTGGGAAAGAAAATTCCGGAATTCAGAGGGTTTGGGAATGGTTCAGAGGGATTTGGGAACGGTCAGGGAGGTTTGGAATGGGCACAGGGAACATTGACACATCCAGGGCCAGCTGGGAAAGAAAATTCCAGAATTCAGGGGGTTTGGGATGGTTCAGAGGGATTTGGGAACGGTCAAGAGGGTTTGGGAATGGTCAGAAGGGTTTGGGATGGGCACAGGGAACATTGACCCATCCAGGGCCGACTGAAATGGGGATTTAGAGGATTTAGGAACACTCAGAGGGGTTTGGGAATGGGCACAGGGAACATTGACCCGTCCAGGGCTGACTGGGAAAGAAAATTCCAGAATTCAGAGGGGTTTGGGAATGGTTCAGAGGGATTTGGGAACAGGCAGGGAGGTTTGGGATGGGCAAAGGGAACATGGACATGTCCAGGGCCAGCTGGGAACAGGAATTCAGGGGGTTTGGGAATGGTTCAGAGGGATTTGGGAACGTTCAAGAGGGTTTGGGAATGGTCAGAAGGGTTTGGGATGGGCAGAGTGAACAGAGTTGACACGTCCAGGGCCAACTGAAATGGGGATTGAGGGGATTTAGGAACACTCAGAGGGGTTTGGGATGGGCACAGGGAACATTGACACGTCCAGGGCCAGCTGGGAAAGAAAATTCCAGAATTCAGAGGGGTTGGGAATGGGAATTGCAGAATTGAGAATGGGCAAAGGGAACATTGACCTGTCCAGGGCCAACTGAAATGGGGATTTAGGAACACTCAGAGGGGTTTGGGAATGGTCAAAGAGAACATTGACACGTCCAGGGCCAGCTGGGAAAGAAAATTCCAGAATTCAGGGGGGTTGGGAATGGTTCAGAGGGATTTGGGATGAGCAGGAGGGGTTTGGGAATGGGCACAGGGAACATTGACCCATCCAGAACCAACTGAAGAATGGGGATTTAGGAACACTCAGAGGGGTTTGGGATGGGCACAGGGAACATTGACATGTCCAGGGCCAGCTGGGAACAGGAATTCAGGGGCTTTGGGATGGTCAGAGGGGTTTGGGAACGCTCCAAGGGCTTTGGGAAGGCTCAGAGGGGTTTGGGCATTCGGGATTCAGGGCTTTGGGAGCGCTCAGGCCATTCATTGCCAGGGATCATCCCCAGGATTCGGGGCTGCCAGGGGCACAGGGCCCTCCATGGTGAAGGTTTTGCCGCTGCCCCTCTGCCGTAGGCGAAGATGCACACGGGGGACCCGGCCTGGGCCGACTGGGAAAGAAAATTCCAGAATTCAGGGGGGTTTGGGATGGCCAGGGGGGTTTGGGAATGGGCACAGGGAACATTGACACGTCCAGGGCTGAATGGGAAAGAAAATTCCGGAATTCAGAGGGGTTTGGGATGGCCAGGGGGGGTTTGGGATGGGCACAGGGAACATTGACACGTCCAGGGCCAGCTGGGAAAGAAAATTCCAGAATTCAGAGGGGTTTGGGAATGGTTCAGAGGGGTTTGGGAACGGCCAGGGGGGTTTGGGATGGGCAAAGGGAACATGGACACGTTCAGGGCCAGCTGGGAACAGGAATTCAGGGGGTTTGGGAATGGTTTCAGAGGGATTTGGGAACGTTCAAGAGGGTTTGGGAATGGTCAGAGGGGTTTGGGATGGGCAGAGTGAACAGAGTTGACCCGTCCAGGGCTGAATGAAATGGGGATTGAGGGGATTTAGGAACACTCAGAGGGGTTTGGGATGGGCACAGGGAACATTGACCCGTCCAGGGCTGAATGAAATGGGGATTGAGGGGATTTAGGAACACTCAGAGGGGTTTGGGAATGGGCACAGGAACATTGACCCGTCCAGGGCTGAATGGGAAAGAAAATTCCAGAATTCAGGGGGATTTGGGATGAGCAGGAGAGGTTTGGGATGGGCACAGAGAACATTGACACGTCCAGGGCCAGCTGGGAACAGGAATTCAGAGGGGTTTGGGAATGGTTCAGAGGGATTTGGGAACGCTCAAGAGGGTTTGGGATGGGCACAGGGAACATTGACCCGTCCAGGGCCAACTGGGAACGGGAATTCAGGGGATTTAGGAACACTCAGAGGGGTTTGGGAATGGGCACAGGGAACATTGACACATCCAGGGCCAACTGGGAAAGAAAATTCCAGAATTCAGGGGGTTTGGGAATGGTTCAGAGGGATTTGGGAATGCTCAAGAGGGTGTGGGAATGGTCAGGGGGGTTTGGGATGGGCACAGGGAACATTGACACGTCCAGAACCAGCTGGGAACAGGAATTCAGGGGCTTTGGGATGGTCAGAGGGGTTTGGGAACGCTCCAAGGGCTTTGGGAAGGCTCAGAGGGGTTTGGGCATTCGGGATTCAGGGCTTTGGGAGCGCTCAGGCCATTCATTGCCAGGGATCATCCCCAGGATTCGGGGCTGCCAGGGGCACAGGGCCCTCCATGGTGAAGGTTTTGCCGCTGCCCCTCTGCCCGTAGGCAAAGATGCACACGGGGGACCCGGCCAGGGCCGACTGGGAAAGAAAATTCCGGAATTCAGAGGGGTTTGGGATGGGAATTGCAGAATTGGGAATGGGCACAGGGAACATTGATACGTCCAGGGCTGAATGGGAAAGAAAATTCCAGAATTCAGGGGTCTGGGAATGGTTCAGAGGGATTTGGGAACACTCAAGAGGGTTTGGGAATGGTCAGAGGGTTTGGGATGGGCACAGGGAACATTGACACGTCCAGAACCAGCTGGGAACGGGAATTCAGGGGGTTTGGGAATGGTTCAGAGGGATTTGGGAACGCTCAGGAGGGTCTGGGATGGCCAGGGGGGTTTGGGAGCGCTCAGGCCATTCATTGCCAGGGATCATCCCCAGGATTTGGGGGTGCCAGGGGCACAGGACCCTCCATGGTGAAGGTTTGGGTACCCGGCCAGGGCCGACTGGAATGGGGATTTAGGGGATTTAGGAACACTCAGAGGGGTTTGGGATGGGCAAAGGGAACATTGACACGTCCAGGGCCGACTGGAATGGGGATTTAGAGGATTTAGGAACATTCAGAGGGGTTTGGAATGGTCAAAGGGAACTTTGACCCATCCAGGGCCGACTGGGAAAGAAAATTCCGGAATTCAGGGGGTCTGGGAATGGTTCAGAGGGATTTGGGAACAGTAAGGGAGGTTTGGGATGGGCACAGGGAACATTGACCCGTCCTGGGCCGACTAAAATGGGATTTAGGAACACTCAGAGGGGTTTGGGAATGGTCAAAGGGAACATTGACACGTCCAGGGCCAGCTGGGAAAGAAAATTCTGGAATTCAGAGGGGTTTGGGAATGGTTCAGAGGGGTTTGGGAACGCTCAAGAGGGTTTGGGAATGGTCAGGGGGTTTGGGATGGGCACAGGGAACATTGACACATCCAGGGCCGACTGGGAAAGAAAATTCCAGAATTCAGAGGGGTTGGGAATGGGAATTGCAGAATTGGGAATGGGCACAGGGAACATTGACACGTCCAGGGCCAGCTGGAATGGGAATTTAGAGGATTTAGGAACACTCAGAGGGGTTTGGGAATGGGCACAGGGAACATTGACACATCCAGTGCCAGCTGGGAAAGAAAATTCCAGAATTCAAGAGGGGTTGGGAATGGGAATTGCAGAATTGGGAATGGGCCCAGGGAACACTGACCCATCCAGGACCAACTGGAATGGGAATTTAGAGGATTTAGGAACACTCAGGGGGTTTGGGAACGGTCAGAGGGGTTTGGGAACACTCAGGGGGGTTTGGGAACGGTCAGAGGGGTTTGGGAACACTCAGGGGGGTTTGGGAAGGGATTTCCTGGTGGAATCTCGGGGATTTGGGGATCCAGGTGAGATTTGTTTGATTTTTGGGCTCCAGGTGAGACATTTGGGGTTTTTAGGATCCAGGTGGGGTTTCTGGGCTGCAAACCTGGAACAGGAGCTGGATCCCCTGCAAGATCCCCTGCTGGATTTGGGGTTGGGTTTGGGGAAATGGAGCCGGATTTTGGGTACAATCTTGGGGATTTTGGGATCCAGGTGGGATTTTTTGGATATTTGGAATTTTTGGGACAACCACCTGCACCAGGAGCTGGATCCCCTGCAAGATCTCCTGCTGGATTTGGGGTTTTTTGGTGTTTTTGGGGCACCCACCTGCACCAGGAGCTGGATCTCCTGCAAGATCTCCTGCTGGGATTTGGGGTTGGGTTTGCGTGGAATTTTGGGATCCAGCTGGGATTTTGGGGTTTTTGGGATCCATGTGGAGATTTTTGGCATTTCTGGGATGCACCCACCTGCACCAGCAGCTGGATCTGCCTGAAGGTCTCCTGTTGTGAGGCCCTGGGTGGGATTTGGGTGGGATTTTGCGGATTTTGGGGCACACACCTGCACCAGCAGCTGGATCTCCCTGAAGCAGCTGGATCACCCTGATTTGGGTGGGATTTGGGCAGGATTTTGGGTGGGATTTTGGGGCACCCACCTGCACGAGCAGCTGGATCTCCCTGAAGCTCTCCTGGTGGGATTTTGGGTGGGATTTTGGGTGGGATTTTGGGGCACCCACCTGCACGAGCAGCTGGATCTCCCTGAAGATCTCCTGGTGGGATTTGGGTGGGATTTGGGCAGGATTTTGGGTGGGATTTTGGGGATTTTGGGGCACTGACCTGCACCAGCAGCTGGATCTCCCTGAAGATCTCCTGGTGGGATTTGGGTGGATTTGGGTGGGATTTTGGGTGGGATTTTGGGGATTTTGGGACACTGACCTGCACCAGCAGCTGGATCTCCCTGAAGCAGCTGGATCTCCCTGATTTGGGTGGGATTTGGGTGGGATTTGGGCAGGATTTTGGGTGGGATTTTGGGGATTTTGGGGTACTGACCTGCACCAGCAGCTGGATCTCCCTGAAGATCTCCTGGTGGGATTTGGGTGGGATTTGGGCAGGATTTTGGGTGGGATTTTGGGGATTTTGGGGCACACACCTGCACCAGCAGCTGGATCTCCCTGAAGCAGCTGGATCACCCTGATTTGGGTGGGATTTGGGTGGGATTTTGGGTGGGATTTGGGTGGGATTTGGGTGGGATTTTGGGTGGGATTTTGGGTGGGATTTTGGGGCACACACCTGCACCAGCAGCTGGATCTCCCTGAAGCTCTCCTGGTGGGATTTGGGTGGGATTTTGGGTGGGATTTTGGGCAGGATTTTGGGTGGGATTTTGGGGCACACACCTGCACCAGCAGCTGGATCTCCCTGAAGATCTCCTGCTGGGATTTGGGTGGGATTTGGGTGGGATTTTGGGTGGGATTTTGGGGATTTTGGGGCACTGACCTGCACCAGCAGCTGGATCTCCCTGAAGATCTCCTGGTGGGATTTTGGGTGGGATTTTGGGTGTGATTTGGGGGATTTTGGGGCACCCACCTGCACGAGCAGCTGGATCTCCCTGAAGATCTCCTGCTGCGAGGCCCCGGGCAGGATTTGGGTGGGATTTGGGTGGGATTTTGGGGTTTCTGGGATGCACACACCTGCACCAGCAGCTGGATCTCCCTGAAGCAGCTGGATCTCCCTGATTTGGGTGGGATTTGGGGTGGGATTTTGGGTGGGATTTTGGGGCACTGACCTGCACCAGCAGCTGGATCTCCCTGATTTGGGTGGGATTTGGCCAGGATTTTGGGTGGGATTTTGGGGATTTTGGGGCACACACCTGCACCAGCAGCTGGATCTCCCTGAAGATCTCCTGCTGGGATTTGGGTGGGATTTGGGTGGGATTTTGGGTGGGATTTTGGGATTTTTGGGGCACTGACCTGCACCAGCAGCTGGATCTCCCTGAAGATCTCCTGTTATGAAGCCCTGGGTGTGATTTTGGGTGGGATTTTGGGGATTTTGGGGCACCCACCTGCACGAGCAGCTGGATCTCCCTGAAGATCTCCTGGTGGGATTTTGGGTGGGATTTGGGCAGGATTTTGGGTGGGATTTTGGGGCACTGACCTGCACCAGCAGCTGGATCTCCCTGAAGCAGCTGGATCTCCCTGATTTGGGTGGGATTTTGGGTGGGATTTGGGCAGGATTTTGGGTGGGATTTTGGGGATTTTGGGGCACCCACCTGCACCAGCAGCTGGATCTCCCTGAAGATCTCCTGGTGGGATTTGGGCAGGATTTTGGGTGTGATTTGGGGGATTTTGGGGCACTGACCTGCACGAGCAGCTGGATCTCCCTGAAGATCTCCTGTTATGAAGCCCTGGGTGGGATTTTGGGTGTGATTTTGGGGATTTTGGGGCACACACCTGCACCAGCAGCTGGATCTCCCTGAACCTCTCCTGGTGGGATTTGGGTGGGATTTTGGGGCACTGACCTGCACCAGCAGCTGGATCTCCCTGAAGCTCTCCTGCTGGGATTTTGGGTGGGATTTGGGCAGGATTTGGGTGGGATTTGGGGTGGGATTTTGGGGCACTGACCTGCACCAGCAGCTGGATCTCTCTGAAGCTCTGGTGGATTTGGGGTTGGATTTGGGTGGGATTTTGGGGCACACACCTGCACCAGTACCTGGATCTCCCTTAACTCTCCTGTTGTGAACCCACTGGGTGGGATTTGGGTGGAATTTTGGGATTTTTGGGATTTCTGGGATGCACCCACCTGCACCAGCAGCTGGATCTCCCTGAACTCTCCTGTTATGAAGCCCTGGGTGTGATTTTGGGTGGGATTTTGGGTGGGATTTTGGGGCACTGACCTGCACGAGCAGCTGGATCTCCCTGAAGATCTCCTGGTGGGATTTTGGGTGGGATTTGGGTGGGATTTTGGGTGGGATTTGGGGTGGGATTTTGGGTTTTTTTGGGGCACTGACCTGCACGAGCAGCTGGATCTCCCTGAAGATCTCCTGGTGGGATTTTGGGTGGGATTTTGGGTGTGATTTAGGGGTTTTTGGGGCACACACCTGCACCAGCAGCTGGATCTCCCTGAAGATCTCCTGTTATGAAGCCCTGGGTGTGATTTTGGGTGGGATTTTGGGGATTTTGGGGCACTGACCTGCACCAGCAGCTGGATCTCCCTGAAGATCTCCTGGTGGGATTTGGGTGGGATTTTGGGTGTGATTTTGGGTGGGATTTTGGGGATTTTGGGGCACTGACCTGCACCAGCAGCTGGATCTCCCTGAAGATCTCCTGGTGGGATTTGGGCAGGATTTTGGGTGGGATTTTGGGGATTTTGGGGCACTGACCTGCACCAGCAGCTGGATCTCCCTGAAGATCTCCTGCTGCGAGGCCCCGGGCGGGAAGACGCGGTCGAAGCTGAAGTCGTAGCGCAGCTCCGCCCGCCGCTCCCGGCCCACCTGCGACTGCGGGGGGGAAACGGAACATTTGGGGAGAAAACACGGGAAATTGGGTGAAAAATGGAGATTTGGGGCAAAGAAATGGGAAATTGGGTGAAAACAGGGAGATTTGGGGCAAAGAAATGGGAAATTGGGTGAAAACAGGGAGATTTGGGGCAAAATAATGGGAAATTGGGTGAAAACAGGGAGATTTGGGGCAAAGAAATGGGAAATTGGGTGAAAAATGGAGATTTGGAGCAAAAAAATGGGGGTTTGGGGCAAAAAAATGGGGGTTTGGGGCAAAAAATGGGAAATTGGGCAAAACCAGGGAGATTTGGGGCAAAAAAACCAGGAAATTGGGCAAAAAAATGAGGGTTTGGGGCAAAGAAATGGGGATTGGGGCAAAAAAATGGGGTTTGGGCAAAAAAATGGAGATTTGGGGCAAAAAAATGGGGATTGGGGCAAAGAAATGGGGTTTGGGCAAAAAAATGGAGATTTGGGGCAAAATAATGGGAAATTGGGCAAAAAAATGGAGATTTGGGGCAAAAAACCAGGAAATTGGGCAAAAAATGGAGATTTGGGGCAAAAAACAGGAAATTGGGTGAAAAAATTGAGATTTAGGGCAAAGAAATGGGAAATTGGGCAAAAAATGGAGATTTGGGGCAAAAAACGGGAAATTGGGTGAAAAAATGGAGATTTGGGGCAAAAAAATGGGAAATTGGGTGAAAACAGGGAGATTTGGGGCAAAAAAACGGGAAATTAGGCAAAAAATGGAGATTTGGGGCAAAAAATGGGGATTGGACAAACAAATGAAGATTTGGGGCAAAAAAATGGGGATTGGGGCAAAAACAGGGAGATTTGGGGCAAAAAATGGGAAATTGGGCAAAAAATGGAGATTCGGGGCGAAAAATGGGAAATGGGCAAAAGAATGGAGATTTGGGGCAAAATAATGGGGTTTGGGGCAAACAAATGGAGCTTTGGGGCAAAAAACGGGAAATTGGGTGAAAAAATGGAGATTTGGGGCAAAAAAAATGGGAAATTGGGTGAAAACAGCGAGATTTGGGGCAAAAAAAACGGGAAATTAGGCAAAAAATGGAGATTTGGGGCAAAAAAATGGGGTTTGGGGCAAAAAATGGGAAATTGGGCAAACAAATGGAGATTTGGGGCAAAATAATGGGGATTGGGGCAAAATAATGGAGATTTGGGGCAAAAAATGGGAAATTGGGCAAAAAATGGAGATTTGGGGCAAAAAAATGGGGTTTGGGGCAAAAAAAATGGGAAATTGGGCAAAAAATGGAGATTTGGGGCAAAGAAATGGGAAATTGGGCAAAAAGATGGAGATTTGGGGCAAAAAAATGGGGTTTGGGGCAAAGAAATGGGGTTTGGGCAAAAAAATGAAGATTTGGGGCAAAATAATGGGGATTGGGGCAAAAAAATGGGGTTTGGGCAAAGAAATGGGGTTTGGGGCAAAAAGAATGGGGTTTTGGGAGGGGAAAAAGGGATTTTGGGAGGGAAAAGGGATTTTGGGAGGGGAAAAGGGGGTTTTGGGAAGAGAAAAAGGGGTTTGGGAAAAGAAAACGGGGGTTTGGGAGGGGAAAAGGGGTTTTGAGGGGGGGAAAAGAAATTTTGGGAAGAGAAAAAGGGGTTATGGGAAGAGAAAAAGGGGTTTGGGGGGGGAAAAGTGATTTTGGGAAGAGAAAAGGGGGTTTGGGAGAAGAAAAAGGGGTTTTGAGGAGAAAAAGGGGTTTTGGGAAGAGAAAAAGGGGTTTGGGAGGGGGAAAGGGATTTTGGGAAGAGAAAAAGGGATTTTGGGAAGAGAAAAGGGGGTTTGGGGAGGGGAAAAAGGATTTTGAGGAGGAGAAAAAGGGGTTTTGGGAGGGGAGAAGGGGTTTTGGGAAGAGAAAAAGGGGTTTTGGGAAGAGAAAAAGGGGTTTTGAGGAGGAGAAAAAGGGGGTTTGGGAGAAAAAAAAGGGATTTTGGGAGGGAAAAGGGATTTTGAGGAGGAGCAAAAGGGGTTTTGGGAGGAGCAAAAGAGATTTTGGGAAGAGAAAAAGGGGTTTTTGAGGAGGGGAAAAGGGGTTTTGGGAGGGGGAAAGGGGGTTTAGGAGGGCAAAAGGGTTTTTGAGGAGGAGAAAAAGGGATTTTGGGAGGGAAAAGGGGTTTAGGGAGGAGAAAAGGGGGTTTTGAGGAGAAAAAGATTTTGGGAGGAGAAAAAGAGATTTTGGTACGGGAAAAGGGGTTTTGGGAGGGAAAAAGGATTTTGAGGAGGAGAAAAAGGGATTTTGGGAGGGGGAAAAGGGTTTTTGGGAGGGGCAAAGGGTTTTTGGGAGGGGCAAAGGGTTTTTGGGAGGGGCAAAGGGTTTTTGGGAGGGGCAAAGGGTTTTTGGGAGGTGCAAAGGGTTTTTGAGAAGGGGCAAAGGGTTTTTGGGAGGGGCAAAGGGTTTTTGAGAAGGGGCAAAGGGTTTTTGGGAGGGGCAAAGGGTTTTTGAGAAGGGGCAAAGGGTTTTTGGGAGGGGAAAAGGGTTTTTGGGAGGCCAGAGCCGTTTTTGGGTGCAGGGGGCGCGTTTGCAGCCAGGCACTGACATCGTCGGGCCGGGTGAGCACCAGGCTGCGCGCGTCCTGCGGGGGGAAGTGCAGGTGGGGCAGCCCCCGCTGGCGCTCGCGCTCCTCGGGCAGCAGCGGCCGCACGCGGCAGAACACGCGGATGTTCCCCTGGGAAAGGAAAAACAGCACGGGAATGAGGGCTGGGATTGGTGGGAAAGGAAATAACAGCAAGGGAATGAGGGCTGGGATTGGTGGGAAAGGAAATAACAACAAGGGAATGAGGGCTGGGATAAAGGGGTGTGACCCTGGGAAATGAAATATCAATGGGAATGAGGGCTGGGATTGGTGGGAAAGGAAATAACAGAACGGGAATGAGGGCTGGGATAAAGGAGTGTGACCCTGGGAAACCAAATAACAGCAAGGGAATGAGGGGTGGGATAAAGGGGTGTGACCCTGGGAAATGAAATATCAATGGGAATGAGGCACTGGAGTCAGGGGTGTGACCCTGGGAACCGAAATAACAACGGGAATGAGGGATGGGATTGGTGGGAAATCAAAATATAAATGGGATTGAGGGGTGGGATTGGTGCGTGTGACCCTGGAAAACCACAGTAAAACGGGATTGAGGCACTGGAGTCAGGGGTGTGACCCTGGGAAATCAAAATAACAGCAATGGGAATGAGGGATGGGATTGGTGGGGAACAAAATAACAACGGGAATGAGGGGTGGGATTGGTGGGGAACCAAAATATAAATGGGAATGAGGGGTGGGATTGGTGGGAAATCACAATAACAGCACGGGAATGAGGGCTGGGATTGGTGGGAAACAAAAATAACAACAGGAATGAGGGGTGGGATTGGTGGGGAACCAAATAACAACAAGGGAATGAGGGGTGGGATTGGTGGGGAACCAAAATAACAAGGGAATGAGGGGTGGGATTGGTGGGGAACCAAAATATAAATGGGAATGAGGGCTGGGATTGGTGGGGAATCAAATAACAACGGGATTGAGGGCTGGGATTCAGGGGTGTGACCCTGGGAAATCAAAATAACAGCAGCGGGATTGAGGGCTGGGATTGGTGGGAAACAAAAATAACAACGGGAATGAGGAGTGGGATTGGTGGGTGTGACCCAGGGAAATCAAAATAACAATGGGAATGAGGGGTGGGATTGGTGAGAAAAGAAAAATATAAATGGGATTGAGGGGTGGGATTGGTGGGTGTGACCCTGGGAAATCAAAATAACAACGGGATTGAGGCACCAGATTCATGGGTGTTCCCCTGGGAAAACCCAAAATTGGGATTGAGGCATTGAATTAATGGATGTTCCCTTGGAAAACCCCAAAAAACTGGGAGTTAGTAATTGGGCCTGGTCCAGGGTGTCTCCCCCCTCAGGAACAGGGGGACTCCCCTCACACAGAACACGCAGATGTTTTCCTGGAAAAACCCCACAAAAATGGGATTCAGCCCTCAAGGGTAGTCCCAGGGTCTCCCCTCACACAGAACACACAGACATTTCCCTAGAAAACCCCTAAAAATCGTGATTCAGTCATTGGGCCTGGTTCTGGGGGTCTCTTTCCCCTCAGGAACAGGGGATCTCCCCTCACACAGAACACACAGATATTTTCCTGGAAAAACCCCAAAAAACGTGATTTAGTCATTGGGCCTGATCCAGGGTGTCTCCCCCCTCAGGAACCGGGGGTCTCCCCTAACACAGAACACACAGATATTCCCCTGAGAAAACCCCACAAAAATGGGATTCAGCCCTCAGGGGCAGTCCCAGGGTCTCCCCTCACACAGAACACACAGACATTTCCCTGAAAAAACCCTAAAACTTGGGGTTCAGCCATTAGGCCTGGTCCAGGGTGTCTCCCCCCTCAGGAACAGGGGATCTCCCCTCACACAGAACACGCAGACGTTTTCCTGGAAAAACCCCACAAAAATGGGATTCAGCCCTTGGGAGCAATCCAGGGGGGTCTCCCCTCACACAAAACACACAGATATTCCCCTGGAAAACCCAAAAAAAATCGTGATTCACTCATTGGGCCTGACCCCTGGTGTCTCCCCGCTCAGGAACCAGGGGTCTCCCCTCACACAGAACACACAGATGTTTTCCAGGAAAAACCCCACAAAAATGGGGTTCAGGCCTCAAAGGGTAGTCCCAGGGTCTCCCCTCACACAGAACACACAGACATTTCCCTGAAAAACCCCTAAAAACTTGGGGTTCAGCCATTAGGCCTGGTCCATGGTGTCTCCCCCCTCAGGAACGGGGGACTCCTGTCACACAGAACACGCAGACGTTTTCCTGAAAAACCCCACAAAAATGGGATTCAGCCCTCAGGGACAGTCCTGGGGGTCTCCCTTCACAGAGAACATGCAGATATTCCCCTGGAAAACCCCAAAAATTGTGATTCAGTCATTGGGCCTGGTTCTGGGGGTCTCTTTCCCCTCAGGAACCAGGGGTCTCCCCTCACACAGAACACGCAGTTGTTTTCCTGGAAAAACCTCACAAAAATGGGATTCAGCCCTCAAGGGTAGTCCCAGGGTCTCCCCTCACACAGAACACACAGACATTTCCCTGAAAAACCCAAAAAAATTGGGATTCAGTCATTAGGCCTGGTCCATGGTGTCTCCCCCCTCAGGAACCGGGGGTGTTCCCTCATGCAGATGTTTCTCTGACAAAACCCCACAAAATTGGGATTCAGCCCTTGGGAGCAGTCCAGGGGGTCTCGTCTCACACAAAACACACAGATATTCCCCTGGAAAAACCCCAAAAAACGTGATTTAGTCATTGGGCCCAGTCCATGGTGTCTCCCCCCTCAGGAACCGGGAGTCTCCCCTAACACAGAACACGCAGATATTCCCCTGAGAAAACTCCACAAAAATGGGATTCAGCCCTTGGGAGCAGTCCCAGGGTCTCCCCTCACACAGAACACACAGACATTTCCTTGAAAAACCCCAAAACACTTGGGGTTCAGTCATTGGACCCAGTCCTGAGGGGCTCTCCCCTCAGGAACCAGGGGATCCCCCCTCACACAGAATGTGCAGTTTTCCTGAAAAAACCCCACAAAATCGGGATTCAGCCCTCAAGGGCAGTCCTGGGGGTCTCCCCTCACACAAAACACACAGATATTCCCCTGGAAAACCCAAACAAATCATGATTCACTCATTGGGCCTGGTCCAGGGTGTCTCCCCGCTCAAGAACCGGGGGTGTCCCCTCACACAGAACACGCAGATGTTTTCCTGAGAAAACTCCACAAAAATGGGATTCAGCCCTTGGGAGCAGTCCCAGGGTCTCCCCTCACACAAAACACACAGACATTTCTCTGAAAAAACCCTAAAAACTTGGGGTTCAGTCATTGGGCCTGGTCCATGGTGTCTCCCCTCACAGGAACCGGGGCTCTCCCCTCACGCAGAACACGCAGATATTCCCAAATAGGAAAACCCCCCAAAAAACAGGGATTCCCCCATTGAGGCCTCCCCCCTCAGTCCCTCCCCCCCAGAACACAACACCCCTGAAGCCATACCCGGAGCTCCTGGATGTCGTTGTGCAGGCGGCGCCGCTCCATCTCCAGCAGGTGGATGCGCTCCTCGTGCTCGGCCAGCAGCGCCCGCTGCGAGGCCTCGAGCTCGCGCAGCGCCGCCACCTGCTCCAGCTGCTCCTGCAGCTGCTGCTGCGCCTGCTGCAGCTGGGCCTGAGGGGGAAAGGCAAAAAAAACCTCAGAATCACCCCCAGTTCCACAAAGATTCTGAGCCTTGTGCAAAAAAACCCCTCAGAATCGCCCCCAGTTCCACAAAGATTCTGAGCCTTGTGCAAAAAACCCTCAGAATCACCCCCAGTTCCACAAAGATTCTGAGCCTTGTGCAAAAAAACCTCAGAATCACCCCCAGTTCCACAAAGCTTCTGAGCCTTGTGCAAAAAAACCCCTCAGAATCACCCCCAATTCCACAAAGCTTCTGAGCCTTGTGCAAAAAAACCTCAAAATCACCCCCAGTTCCACAAAGATTCTGAGCCTTCTGCCAAAAACCCTCAGAATCACCCCCAATTCCACAAAGATTCTGAGCCTTGTGCAAAAAAACCTCAGAATCCCCCCCAATTCTCCCTCCTTTCTGAGCATTCTGCAAAAAAAACTCAGAATCCCCAATTCCCCCCTGGCTTCTGAGCCGTCTGCAAAAAACCCTCAGAATCCCCCCCAATTCTCCCTCCTTTCTGAGCATTCTGCAAAAAACCCTCAGAATCCCCCCCAATTCCCCTTCAATTCTGAGCCTTCGGCAAAACCCCTCAGAATCCCCCCCAATACCCCAAAGCTTCTGAGCATTCTGCAGAAAACCCTCAGAATCTTCCCCAATCCCCCCAAGCTTCTGAGCCTTCGGCAAAAAACCCTCAAAATCCCCCCCAATTCCCCCTCACTTCTGAGCCTTCGGCAAAAAACCCTCAAAATCCCCAATTCCCCAAAGCTTCTGAGCATTCTGAAAAAAACTCTCAAAATCCCCCCCAATACCCCAAAGCTTCTGAGCATTCTGCAAAAAACCCCAAAATCCCCAATTCCCCCCAAGCTTCTGAGCCTTCTGCAAAAAACCCTCAAAATCCCCAATTCCCCCAAGCTTCTGAGCCTTCTGCCAAAAACCCTCAAAATCCCCAATTCCCCCCAAGCTTCTGAGCCTTCTGCAAAAAAACCCCAAAATCCCCAATTCCCCCCTCCATTCTGAACTTTCTGCCAAAAACCCTCAGAATCCCCAATTCCCCCTTCACTTCTGAGCCTTCTTAAAAAAACCCTCAAAATCCCCAATTCCCCCCAAGCTTCTGAGCCTTTTCAGCTGCTCAGGAGAGAAACTCGCAAAAAAAAAATCCCAGTTTTCCTCATATTTTGCAGATTTTCTGGCATTCTCCCAGGAATTTGGGGTTAAAATTCCCATATTCTGAGGCGTTTTCTGAGGGATTTTGCCACAATCCAGGCAAAGCCCTCATTTTTCCGCCTCTTTTGTTGCTCCCTAGCAGATTTCGAGTTGAAACACAGCAAAAATGATTCAAATTCCCTTTTTTCCCAACATTTTGGACACCTTGAGGGATTTCAGGTGCAAAATTCTCATTTTTTCACGATTTTCCCCACATTTCTCCCTGAGAAATTTTGACACGAAAAAATCCGGAATTGATACAACCCCATCATTTTCCCAACCTTTTCTGGCACTCCTGGTGGCTTTCAGCCTGGAGAGTGACTGAACAGCTCTAAAATCCCAATTTTTCAATAATTTTGAAGCACTGAGAAGGATTTTGGTTGCAAAAGCAGCTGAATTGGTGAAAATTCCCATTTTCCCCACATTGTGAGGGGTACCTCTGAAGAATTTCTGACACCAAAAAGCCAGAATTGCCACAAACCCTCATTTTCCTGCCACTTTCTGGGGCCTCTGGAACAACAAAACGGCTCCAAATTCCCGGGTTTTTTGTGGATTCTGAAGCACCCCCTGAGGGATTTTGGGTGCAAAAGCAGCTGAATTAGTGAAAATTCCCACCTTTCCCAAGTTTTGAAGTTCCCCTGAAGGATTTTGACCCCAAGAAAGCCGGAATTGGCACAAACCCCACATTTCCCCTCCTTTTTTTGGTGCCCCCTGGCGGATTTGAGGTCAGAGAGCAACAAAGCAGCTCCAAAATCCCAGGGTTTTGCACATGTTCAGGAACCCTCGAGGGAGTTTGGAGCCAGAAGCAGCTGGATTGGTGAAAATTCCCATTTCCCCCACATTTCAAGGCACTTTCAGAGCGATTTTGGTGCCAAAAAACCCCAAATTGGTGCCAACCCCTCATTTTCCCGCCCTTTTTGGCGCCCCCTGGCGGATTTTCCCCTCACAGCTTCCCGCCATTTTTCACCATTCCCCCCCTCACCAATGGATTCCAGATGGGAAAGCTCAAAATGGCTCCAAAATTCCCGTTTTTTCAGGGATTTCTCAGGAATTGGGGGCCCTACCCCAGTGTTCTCCAGCTGCTCCGACAGCGCCTGTGCCCGGCCCAGGGCCTCGTCCCTCTCCTGCCGCCGCTGCTGCTCCTGCGCCTGCAGCCGCCGCTCCTCGGCCTCCAGGGCCTCCACCCGGCCCCGGCTCTGCTCCAGCTCCTCACGGCACTGAGACACCTCCAGCTCCAGGGAGCTGTGGGAAACGGGGCAATCCCACAAAATCGGGGATTTTAGGGCAGTTCGAGGCGTTTCGGGTGAGTTTCTTGAGGGATTTGGGGAATTTTCAGGAGGGTTCGGAGGGACTTTTGGAGATTGAGGGGGTTCAGGAAATTTCAGGGATTTCCTGAGGGATTCCTGAAAGATTCTGAGGGAAATATTGGGGATCTTGAGGGGCTTCAGGAAATTTCGGGGATTTCCTGAAGGGTTCTGAGGGAATATTGGGGATCATGAGGAGGTTCAGGAAATTTCAGGGATTTCCTGAAGGGTTCTGAGGGAATATTGGAGATCATGAGGGGATTCAGGAAATTTCAGAGATTTCCTGAAGGGTTCTGAGGGAATATTGGGGATCTTGAGGGGAGTCAGGAAATTCTGGGGATTTCCTGAAGGGTTCTGAGGGAATATTTGAGATCTTGAGGGGAGTCAGGAAATTTCAGGGATTTCCTGAAGGGTTCTGAGGGAATATTTGGGATCTTGAGGGGATTCAGGAAAATTCAGGGATTTCCTGAAGGTTTCTGAGGGAATATTGGGGATCTTGAGGGGATTCAGGAAATTTCAGGGATTTCCTGAAGGGTTCTGAGGGAATATTGGGGATCATGAGGGGATTCAGGAAATTTCGGGGATTTCCTGAGGGATTCCTGAAAGATTCTGAGGGAATATTGGAGATCATGAGGGGATTCAGGAAATTTCAGGGATTTCCTGAAGGGTTCTGAGGAAAATATTGGAGATCATGAGGGGATTCAGGAAATTTCAGGGATTTCCTGAAGGTTTCTGAGGGAATATTGGGGATCTTGAGGGGATTCAGGAAATTTCAGGGATTTCCTGAAAGATTCTGAGGGAATTTTGGGGATCTTGAGGGGTTTCAGGAAATTTCAGGGATTTCCTGAAGGGTTCCAAGGGAAATATTGGGTTTCTTGAGAGGATTCAGGAAATTTCAGGGATTTCCTGAAGAATTCCTGAAAGATTCTGAGGGAATATTGGAGATCTTGAGGGGCTTCAGGAAATTTCAGGGATTTCCTGAAAGATTCTGAGGGAATATTGGGGATCTTGAGGGGATTCAGGAAATTTCAGGGATTTCCTGAAGGGTTCTGAGGGAATATTGGGGATCTTGAGGGGATTCAGGAAATTTCAGGGATTTCCCGAAGAGTTCTGAGGGAAATATTGGGGATCATGAGGGGATTCAGGAAATTTCAGGGATTTCCTGAAGGGTTCTGAGGGAATATTGGAGATCTTGAGGGGATTCAGGAAATTTCAGGGATTTCCTGAGGGGTTCTGAGGGAATATTGGGGATCTTGAGGGGATTCAGGAAATTTCAGGGATTTCCTGAAGGGTTCTGAGGGAATATTGGGGATCTTGAGGGGAGTCAGGAAATTTCAGGGATTTCCTGAAGGGTTCCAAGGGAAATATTGGGTTTCTTGAGAGGATTCAGGAAATTTCAGGGATTTCCTGAAGGATTCCTGAAAGATTCTGAGGGAATATTGGAGATCATGAGGGGATTCAGGAAATTTCAGGGATTTCCCGAAGAGTTCTGAGGAAAATATTGGGGATCTTGAGGGGTTTTGAGGGGATTTGTGGAAATTTCAGGGATTTTCCAAAGAGTTCTGAGGGGATTTTGGGGATCATGAGGGGTTTTGGAGCAATTTGTGGAAACTTCAGGAATTTCCAAAGGGTTCTGAGGGAATTATGGGGATTTTGGGAAATTTCAGGGATTTTCAGAAGGGTTCTGAAGGAATTTTGGGGATCTTGAGGCGTTTTAGAGCAATTCAGGGAAATTTCAGGGATTTTCCAAAGAGTTTTGAGGGGATTTTGGGGATCATGAGGGGTTTTGAGGGGATTTGGAGAATTTTCTGGGATTTCCCAAAAGTTTCTGAGGGAATTTTGGGGATCATGAGGGGTTTTGGAGCAATTTGTGGAAACTTCAGGAATTTCAGAAGGGTTCTGAGAGAATTATGGGGATTTTGGGAAATTTCAGGGATTTTCCGAAAGGTTCTGAAGGAATTTTGGGAATCTCAAATTTCAAAGGAAAATTTGGGGGAAATGTGGGATAATTTGGGGGACTTTTGGAGGAATTCCAGGATCTTTTGAAAGCTTTTAGAGAAATTTTGAGGGGATCTTGAGTAGATTTGGGAAAAACCACATTTGGAGGATTTTAGGTGAATTTGAGGTGAATTAGGAATTTCTCAGGAGGATTTTAGGGAATATCAGGAGGGATCTTTCGAGGGATTTTAAGGGATTTATTTTCTCAGGGCAGGATTTTTAGGGATCTGGGACAGTTTTGATGGATTTTGGTGCATTTTTGATGGATTTTGGTGCATTTTTGATGGATTTTGGTGCATTTCTCACCCAACTCTGGAGCTGAGGCTGCTCTCACAGCACCTGTGCTCCCTCACGAGGGGAATTTGGGGCACTTTGGAGGGGGTTTGGTGGATTTGGGGGCAGTTTGATGGATTTTAGTCAGGTTTGAATGGATTTTGGGGCAGTTTGATGGATTTTGGTCAGGTTGGGAGGATTTTGGGGCACTTAAGATGGATTTTGGTGGATTTTAGGGCACTTTAGATGGATTTTAGTCAGGTTTTAATGGATTTTGGGGAAGTTTGGATGGATTTTGGTCTGGTTTTAATGGATTTTGGGACAGTTTGATGGATTTTGGTCAGGTTTTGGTGGATTTTGGGGCAGTTTGGGTGGATTTTGGTCAGGCTTTGATGGATTTTGGGGCAGTTTGATGGATTTTGGTCAGGTTTTAGTGGATTTTGGGGCAGTTTGGGTGGATTTTGGTCAGCTTTTAATGGATTTTGGGGCACTTTAGATGGATTTTGGCCAGGTTTGGATGATTTTGGGGCAGTTTGGATGGATTTTGGGGCAGTTTTAAGTGGATTTTTCCAGGTTTTGATTGATTTTGGGGCAGTTTGGATGGATTTTGGTCAGGTTTTAGTGGATTTTGGGGAACTTAAGATGGATTTTAGTCAGGTTTGGTGGATTTTGGGGCAGTTTGATGGATTTTAGTCAGGTTTGGATGATTTTGGGGCAGTTTGGATGGATTGTGGGGCAGTTTTAAGTGGATTTTTTCCAGGTTTTGATTGAATTTGGGGCAGTTTGATGGATTTTGGTCAGGTTTGGATGGATTTTGGCCAGGCTTTGATGGATTTTGGGGCAGTTTGGATGGATTTTGGTCAGGTTTGGAGGATTTTGGGGCAGTTTGGATGAGTTTGGTTCAGTTTTGGTGGATTTGGGGGCAGTTTTTCAGGATTCTGAGGCAGTTTGGATGGATTTTGATGCAGTTTGTCAGGATTTTGGTCAGGTTTTGAAGGACTTGGTGCAGTCTGGATGGATTTAGAGCAGTTTTCAGTGCATTTTAAGCAGATTTAGGCCCATTTAGGCCCATTTCTCACCCGACCCTGGTGCACAGGCTGCTCTCTCTGCTCTCCCTCTCTCCCAGCAGGGGGATGTGGGTGCATTTGGGGCAGGTTTTGCTGGATTTAGGTGCAGTTTTAAGCAGATTTAGGCCCATTTAGGCCCATTTCTCACCCGACCCTGGTGCACAGGCTGCTCTCCCGGCTCTCCCTCTCTCCCAGCTCCCTCTGCAGGGGATGTGGGTGCGTTTGGGGCAGTTTTGGATGGATTTTTGTGCAGTGTTAAGCAGATTTAGGCCCATTTCTCACCCAACCCTGGTGCACAGGCTGCTCTCTCTGCTCTCCCTCTCTCCCAGCTCCCTCTGCAGGGGATGTGGGTGCGTTTGGGGCAGGTTTAAGCAGATTTAGGTGCAGGTTTCAGGGGATTTGGGTGCATTTCTCACCCGACCCTGGTGCACAGGCTGCTCTCTCTGCTCTCCCTGCTCTCCCAGCTCCCTCTGCAGGGGATGTGGGTGCGTTTGGGGCAGGTTTAAGCAGATTTAGGTGCAGGTTTCAGGGGATTTAGGCCCATTTCTCACCCGACCCTGGTGCACAGGCTGCTCTCTCTGCTCTCCCTGCTCTCCCAGCTCCCTCTGCAGGGGATGTGGGTGCATTTGGGGCAGTTTTTGATGCATTAGGTGCAGGTTTCAGTGGATTTGGGGCAGTTTTTGATGGATTTTTGTGCAGTTTTCAGCACATTTAGGCCCATTTCTCACCCGACCCTGGTGCACAGGCTGCTCTCCCTGCTCTCCCTCTCCCCCAGCTCCCTCTGCAGGGGGATGTGGGTGCGTTTGGGGCAGGTTTGGATGGATTTGGGGCAGTTTCAGTGCGTTTGGGGCAGGTTTGGATGAATTTTTGTGCAGTTTTTAGCAGATTTAGGCCCGTTTCTCACCCGACCCTGGTGCACAGGCTGCTCTCCCTGCTCTCCCTCTCTCCCAGCAGGGGGACGTGGGTGTGTTTTGGGCAGGTTTCAGTGCATTTGGGGCAGGTTTTGATGCATTTGGAGCAGTTTTTGATGCATTTGGGGCAGTTTTTGATGGATTTCGGTGCAGTTTCAAGCAGATTTAGGTGCAGTTTTTAGCGGATTTAGGCCCGTTTCTCACCCGACCCTGGTGCACAGGCTGCTCTCCCGGCTCTCTCTCTCTCCCAGCTCCCTCTGCAGGGGATGTGGGTGTGTTTGGGGCAGGTTTTGATGCATTAGGTGCAGGTTTCAGTGGATTTGGGGCAGTTTTTGATGGATTTTTGTGCAGTTTTTAGCACATTTAGGCCCATTTCTCACCCGACCCTGGTGCACAGGCTGCTCTCTCTGCTCTCCCTCTCTCCCAGCAGGGGATGTGGGTGCGTTTGGGGCAGGTTTAAGCAGATTTAGGTGCAGTTTTTAGCAGATTTAGGCCCATTTCTCACCCGACCCTGGTGCACAGGCTGCTCTCTCTGCTCTCCCTCTCTCCCAGCAGGGGATGTGGGTGCATTTGGGGCAGTTTTAAGCAGATTTAGGTGCAGTTTTTAGCAGATTTAGGCCCATTTAGGCCCATTTCTCACCCGACCCTGGTGCACAGGCTGCTCTCCCGGCTCTCCCTCTCTCCCAGCTCCCTCTGCAGGGGATGTGGGTGCATTTGGGGCAGGTTTTGCTGGATTTAGGTGCAGTTTTTAGCAGATTTAGGCACATTTAGGCCCATTTCTCACCCGACCCTGGTGCACAGGCTGCTCTCCCGGCTCTCCCTCTCTCCCATCTCCCTCTGCAGGGGATGTGGGTGCGTTTGGGGCAGGTTTTGATGGATTTTTGTGCAGTTTTTAGCGGATTTAGGCCCGTTTCTCACCCGACCCTGGTGCACAGGCTGCTCTCCCGGCTCTCCCTCTCTCCCAGCTCCCTCTGCAGGGGGATGTGGGTGCGTTTGGGGCAGGTTTTGATGCATTTGGGGCAGTTTTTGATGGGTTTGGAGCAGTTTTAAGCAGATTTAGGTGCAGGTTTCAGTGGATTTGGGGCAGTCTCAGTGCATTTGGGGCAGTCTCAGTGCATTTGGGGCAGTCTCAGTGCATTTGGGGCAGTTTTTGATGCATTTGGGGCAGTTTTTAGCAGATTTAGGCCCATTTAGGCCCATTTCTCACCCGACCCTGGTGCACAGGCTGCTCTCCCTGCTCTCCCTCTCTCCCAGCAGGGGGATGTGGGTGCATTTGGGGCAGGTTTTGCTGGATTTAGGTGCAGTTTTAAGCAGATTTAGGCCCATTTAGGCCCATTTCTCACCCGACCCTGGTGCACAGGCTGCTCTCTCTGCTCTCCCTCTCCCCCAGCTCCCTCTGCAGGGGATGTGGGTGCGTTTGGGGCAGTTTTAAGCAGATTTAGGTGCAGTTTTTAGCGGATTTAGGCCCATTTCTCACCCGACCCTGGTGCACAGGCTGCTCTCTCTGCTCTCCCTCTCCCCCAGCTCCCTCTGCAGCTGCTGCAGCCGCTCTCTCAGGGCTCGGTTGCCGCTCTCCAGTTCCCTTTTCTCGCTGTCCAGGCCCTGCAGCCGCTCCTGGGCCCGGCCCAGCGCCTCCCGCAGGTCCCCGAGCTGCCCCCGCAGGTCCCAGGGCGGCCGCTTGGGGGCGCCCTTGGAGCTCGCCGTGCTCGTGGCTGAGCCTGGGGAGGGGAAAGGGGATTGGGGACATCCAGAGGGGATTGGGGACACCTGGAGGGGTTTGGGGACATTGGGGAAGGGATTGGGGACATCCAGGGGGGATTGGGGACATTGGGAAAGGGACAGGCGCCCTTGGAGCTCGCCGTGCTCGTGGCTGAGCCTGGGGAGGGACAAAGGGGATTGGGGACATCCAGGGGGGTTTGGGGACATCCAGAGGGGATTGGGGACATTGGGGAAGGGACTTGGTGCCCTTGGAGCTCGCCGTGCTCGTGGCTGAGCCTGGGGAGGGACAAAGGGGATTGGGGACATCCAGGGGGGATTGGGGACATTGGAGCTCGCCGTGCTCGTGGCTGAGCCTGGGGGGACAAAGGGGATTGGGGACATCCAGGGGGGATTGGGGACATTGGGGAAGGGACAGGAGCCCTTGGAGCTCGCCGTGCTCGTGGCTGAGCCTGGGGGGGACAAAGGGGATTGGGGACATTCTGAGGGGATTGGGGACATCCAGGGGGGATTGGGGACATCCAGGGGGGAGTGGGGACATCGGGAAAGGGAGTGGGGACATTGGGAGGGGCTTGGGGTCATTGGGAAAGGGACTGGGGACATCCAGAGGGGATTGGGGACACCCAGAGGGGATTGGGGGCATCCAGAGGGGATTGGGGACATCCAGGGGGGAGTGGGGACATCCAGGGGGAATTAGGGACACCCAGAGGGGATTGGGGACATCCAGAGGGGATTGGGGACATCCAGGGGGGAGTGGGGACACCCGGAGGGGATTGGGGACACCTGGAGGGGTTTGGGGACTTCCAGAGGGGATTTGGGACATCCAGGGGGGTTTGGGGACACCCAGAGGGGTTTGGGGACATTGGGAAAGGGACAGGAGCCCTCGGAGCTCGCCGTGCTCGTGGCTGAGCCTGGGGGGACAAAGGGGATTGGGGACATCCAGGGGGGTCTGGGGACATCCAGGGGGGTCTGGGGACACCCAGAGGGGATTGGGGACATCCAGGGGGGAGTGGGGACACCCAGGGGGGTTTGGGGACATCCAGAGGGGTTTGGGGACATCCAGAGGGGATTGGGGACATTCTGAGGGGATTGGGGACATTGGGAAAGGGACAGGAGCCCTTGGAGCTCGCCGTGCTCGTGGCTGAGCCTGGAGGGACAAAGGGGATTGGGGACATCCAGAGGGGATTGGGGACACCTGGAGGGGTTTGGGGACATTGGGGAAGGGATTGGGGACATCCAGGGGGGATTGGGGACATTGGGAAAGGGACAGGTGCCCTTGGAGCTCGCCGTGCTTGTGGCTGAGCCTGGGGAGGGACAAAGGGGATTGGGGACATCCAGAGGGGATTGGGGACATCCAGGGGGGATTGGGGACATCCAGAGGGGATTGGGGACATCCAGGGGGGTTTAGGGACACCCAGAGGGGATTTGGGGACATCCAGGGAGGATTGGGGACACCCAGAGGGGATTGGGGACAGCGCCCTTGGAGCTCGCCGTGCTCGTGGCTGAGCCTGGGGAGGGACAAAGGGGATTGGGGACATCCAGAGGGGATTGGGGACATCCAGGGGGGATTGGGGACATCCAGAGGGGATTGGGGACATCCAGGGGGGTTTGGGGACACCTGGAGGGGTTTGGGGACATCCAGGGGGGATTGGGGACATCCAGGGGGGATTGGGGACATTCTGAGGGGATTGGGGACATCCAGAGGGGATTGGGGACACCTGGAGGGGACTGGGGACATCCAGAGGGGATTGGGGACATTCTGAGGGGATTGGGGACATCCAGGGGGGTTTGGGGACACCTGGAGGGGTTTGGGGACATCCAGGGGGGATTGGGGACATTCAGGGGGGTTTGGGGACACCCAGAGGGGTTTGGGGACACCCGGAGGGGTTTGGGGACTTCCAGAGGGGTTTGGGGACATCCAGAGGGGTTTGGGGACATTGGGAAAGGGACTGGGGACATCAGAAGAGGAGTGGGGACATTGGGATGCAGAGTGGGGACATTGGAGGGGAGTTTGGGGACATCGGGAGGGGCTTGGGCACATTGAGGGGGTGCCAAAGGGGACCCTGGGGACATCAGGAGGGCTCCTGGGGACACTGGGGAGGGCTTGGGGACATTGGGGACACTGGGGAGGGGCCCTGGGGACACTGGGGAGGGCTTGGGGACAAGGGAGGGGCACCCTGGGGACACTGGGAGAGGTTTGGGGACACTGGTGACAGGGAAAGGGCGGCCTTGGGGACATTGGGAGGGGCTTGGGGACACTGGGAGGGGCTTGGGGCCATGAGGAAGGGACCGAGGACATTGGGGGGGCTTGGGGACATTGGTGAGAGACCTGGGGACACTGGGGACAGGGCAGAGGTGGCCCTGGGGACACCGGGAAAGGAACTAAGGACAAGGGAGGGGCACCTTGGGGACACTGGGAGGGCCTTGGGGACACTGGGAGGGCCTTGGGGACACTGGGGACAGGGAAAGGGCGGCCTTGGGGACAGCAGGAGTGGCTTGGGGACATCAGGAGTGGCTTGGGGACACTGGGAGGGGTCCTGGGGACACTGGGAGGGGTCCTGGGGACACTGGGGACATTGGGGAGGGGTCCTGGGGACACTGGGGACACTGGGAGGGGTCCTGGGCACACTGGGGACACTGGGGACACTGGGAGGGGTCCTGGGGACACTGGGGACACTGGGGAGGGGTCCTGGGGACACCGGGGGCTCTCAGGTCTCACCTGCCCTGGGAGCAGCTGCCACTGACGCCGCCTTCCGAGGGCCATCTGGGGACATTGGGGGGACATTGGGGACACATTGGGGACATTGGGGACACACTGGGGACATTGGGGACATTGGGGACATTGGGGACACATTGGGGACACATTGGGGACACATTGGGGACATTGGGGACACATTGGGGACACATTGGGGACACACTGGGGACACATTGGGGACACATTGGGGACATTGGGGGGACATTGGGGACACATTGGGGGCATTGGGGACACATTGGGGACATTGGGGACACATTGGGGACACATTGGGGACACACTGGGGACACATTGGGGACATTGGGGGGACATTGGGGACACATTGGGGACACATTGGGGACATTGGGGGGGCATTGGGGACGCATTGGGGACGCATTGGGGACGCATTGGGGACACACTGGGGACACATTGGGGGGACATTGGGGACACACTGGGGACACATTGGGGACATTGGGGGGGCATTGGGGACGCATTGGGGACACATTGGGGACGCATTGGGGACACACTGGGGACACATTGGGGGGACATTGGGGGGACATTGGGGACACACTGGGGACATTGGGGGGGGTTTGAACCCCCTGACACCCCCCAGGCCACACTGAGCCCTCCCCAAAGCCCCTTGAAATCCCCCAAATGTCCCCAAAGCCCCTTGAACTGCCCCAAATCCCCTTGAACTGCCCCCAAAACCCCTCTAGAACCCCTAAATCCCCTTCAACTGCCCCAAATCCCCTTGAACTGCCCCAAATCCCCATTAAATGCCCCCAAATCCACTTGAACTGCCCCAGACCTCCAATAAATGCCCCCAACATCCCCTTTAACTGCCCCAAATCCCCTTTAAGTCCCCCAAATCCCCATTAGATCCCCTAAAATCCCCTTTAACTGCAACATAGCCGCTCTGAATGCCCCCAAATCCCCTTGAACTGCCCCAGATCCCCATTAAATGCCCCCAAATCCCCTTTACCTGCCCCCAAACCCCATTAAATGCCCCCAAACCCCATTAAATGCCCCCCAAATCCCCATTACCTGCCCCCAAACCCCATTAAATGCCCCCGACCCCCATTAAATGCCCCAAATCCGCTTGAACTGCCCCAGATCCCCATTAAATGCCCCCAAATCCCCTTTAACTGCCCTAGACCCCCATTAAACCCCCCCAAATCCCCTTTACCTGCCCCCAAACCCCATTAAATCCCCCCAAATCCCATTAAATGCCGCCAAATCCCCTTTACCTGCCCCAAACCCCATTAAATGCCCCCAAATCCCCTTTACCTGCCCCAGACTCCCTCCTTTAAATCCCCCAAATCCCCTTGAACTGCCCCCAAACCCCATTAAATGCCCCCAAATCCCCTTGAACTGCCCCAGATCCCCATTAAATGCCCCCAAATCCCCTTTACCTGCCCCCCACACCCCCATTAAATGCCCCCAAATCCCATTAGACCCTCCCAAATCCCCTTTAACTGCCCCCAAATCCCCTTTACCTGCCCCCAGACCCCATTAAATGCCCCCGAACCCCATTAGACCCCCCCAAATCCCCTTTCGGAGCCCCAAACCCCCTTAGACCCCCCCAAATCCCCTTTCGGAGCCCGCTCTCCGCTCCGTGCCCCCGCTTCCCCCCGTACCGTTCTTCCCCGCGGCCGCGGCGGGGCCCAGCGTTCGCAGCGGGGCCCTGAGCGGGGCCTTGGGCGCGGCCTTGGCAGCTCCGGGCCCGAGCCCGGTCCGCGATCGTTTCTGTCAGGGGACAAACGGCGTCAGGCGCGGGCAGGGCCGGGCCGAGCCCGCGCGGGGAGCGCTCCCTCCGCACCTGCTGGGGAGGAGCGGCGGGCGGGCCCTCGGACGGGGCCCGCTTCTCCTGGCCCCGGGCCACCGGCAGCCGCGAGAGCCCCGGGCGCGGCCCCGGGAGCGCTGCGGGACCGGCCTGAGGCGGCGCCGCCATCTTGTCCCGCGCGCCTTCAAACCGCCGCGCGCACATTGCGGCCAATGGCGGGGCGAGGTGGGAGGGGTGGGCCCGCCCCCCGTGGGGTTTGGCCAATGGGAGAGCGAGGTGGGAGCGGGGAGAGCCAATGGGAGCGCGGGGCGGGGTCAGGGAGGGTGGAGGTTCGCCCGCCAAGGGGTAACGGCTGAGGGGGCGGGGCTTGTGTGGTGGGAGAGGGCGGGGATTGGCTGAGAGGGGAGGGGGCGGGGTTTATACACTGGGCGTGGCCATGTAAGGCACGGAGTTGTTTTGGTTGCTGGGGAGGAGGCGTGGTCTGAGTCAAGCCCCGCCCACAGAGCCCGAACATCCCCAAATTTACCCAAACATGCCCAAATCCATCTAAAATATCCCTAAATTCACCAAAAACATCCCCAAATCTGCCCAAAATATCCCCAAATGCATCTAAAATATCCCTAAATCCACCCAAAACATCCCCAAATCCACCCAAAACATCACCAAATCTGCCCAAAATATCCCTAAATTCACCAAAAACATCCCCAAATCTGCCCAAAATATCCCCAAATGCATCTAAAATATCCCTAAATCCACCCAAAACATCCCCAAATTCACCCAAAACATCACCAAATCTGCCCAAAATATCCCTAAATTCACCAAAAACAACCCCAAATCTGCCCAAAATATCCCCAAATCCGTCTTAAATATCCCTAAATTCACCAAAAACATCCCCAAATCTGCCCAAAATATCCCCAAATCCATCTAAAATATCCCTAAATTCACCCAAACTATTCCCCAATCCACCAATAATGTCCCCAAATCCATCTAAAATATTCCTAAATCCACTCAAATATTCCCAAATCCACCCAAAACATCACCAAATCCACCCAAAACATCACCAAATCCTCCCAAATATCCCCAAATCCACCCAAAATATCCCCAAATCCACCCAAAGCTCCCCAGATTCCCCCAAAATATCCCTAAATCCACCCAAAATATCCCTAAATTCACCCAAAGTATCACCCAAAATATCACCAAATCCATTCAAACTTCCCTAAATTCACCGAAAACATCCCCAAATCTGCCCCAACCATTCCCAAATCCCTCAAAACCTCCCTAAATCCACCCAAAACAACCCCAAATATCTTCAAATCCGCCCAAACCTTCTTAAATTCGCCCTAAGCATCCCCCAATCCACCCAAATACCCCCAAATCCACTCAAAACTTCCCTAAATTCATCCAAAACATCCCAAAATCTGTCCTAAACATCCCCAAATCCGCTCAAACACCCCAAAATCCACCTAAAATATCCCCAAATCCACCAAAAGCTCCCCAAATCCACCCAAATCTCTCTAAATCAACCCAAAACCTCCCTAAATTCACTCAAAACATCCCCAAATCCACCCAAATAACCCCCAGACACCCCCAAAACTCCCCAAACTCACCCCAAACCCCCTCAGAGCCCCCCAGGCCCTCCCAAATCCCTCCTCAGGCTCCCCAGATTCCCCCAAATTCCCCAAAACCCCGAAATTTTCCCCCAAATCCCCGCGGGCCGAGACTCGGGCGTGGCCTCAGCCCGGTGGGCGTGGCCTCAGCCCGGTGGGCGTGGCCTCAGCCCGGCGGGCGTGGCCTCAGCCCGGTGGGCGTGGCCTCAGCCCGGCGGGCGTGGCCTCAGCCCGGCGGGCGTGGCCTCAGCCCGGTGGGCGTGGCCTCTGCGGCTGCCGGGCGCTTGATTGTTAAGTGGGCGTGGTCACGGGCGTGACCAAACACGTTGTGGGCGTGGCCCCGCCCTCTGCAGCGCCCGCTGCGGGTGCGTCAAGGGGGCGTGGCCTGCGCCACAATGGGCGTGGTCACGCCGCAATGGGCGTGGCCTGAGCGCGGCGGGGCACCCCCGGCTGCGGGTGGGGGGGGGTGGGGGAAGGGGGGGGCGGATTTTGGGGGCGTTTTTGGGGTCTCGGTGTTGGCCCCGCCCCCTCCCATCCCCGGGGGGGTCCCGGGGGGGTCCCGGGGGGTCCCCGGTGCCGCCGTCCCTCGTGTGCCCCCCCCGGCCCCCCCCCGCGCCGCCGCTGCTGCGTCACGGCCCCGCCGCCAACGCCGCCCGCGCCCGCAGCGGCCGCCGGGGCCGGGCCGGGGGCGCCGACACCCCCGGGACCCCCCGGGAACCCCCCGGGAACCCCCGGGAACCCCCGGGAACCCCCCGGGAACCCCCGGGACCGGCAGCAGAGACTCGGGACCCCTGCCCGCGTGAGAGCCCCCCCGCGCCGGAACCGCCCCAGAGAAACAGGGACGCACCCCAAAGAAACAGGGACAGACCCCAGAATATAGGGACAGAACCCCAAAATATAGGGACAGACCCCAAAATATAGGGACAGAACCCCAAAATATAGGGAACCGCCCCAGAGAAACAGGGACGCACCCCAAAGAAACAGGGACAGGACCCCGAAATATAGGGACAGAACCCAAAATATAGGGACAGAACCCCAAAATATAGGGACAGAACCCCAAAATATAGGGAACCGCCCCAGAGAAACAGGGACGCACCCCAAAGAAACAGGAACAGACCCCAAAATATAGGGACAGACCCCCAAAATATAGGGACAGACCCCCAGAGAAACAGGGACGCACCCCAGAAATAGGGACAGAACCCCAAAATATAGGGATACACCCCAGAGAAACAGGGATGCACCCCAGAAATAGGGGCAGAACCCCAAAATATAGGGACAGAACCCCAGAGAAACAGGGACGCACCCCATAAACAGGGACAGACCCCAGAAATAGGGACAGAACCCCAAAATATAGGGACAGACCCCAAAATATAGGGAACCGCCCCAGAGAAACAGGGACGCACCCCAAAGAAACAGGGACAGAACCCCAAAATATAGGGATACACCCCAGAGAAACAGGGACGCACCCCAAAGAAACAGGGACAGGACCCCAAAATATAGGGACAGAACCCCAAAATATAGGGAACCACCCCAGAAATAGGGACAGAACCCCAAAATATAGGGAACCACCCCAGAAATAGGGACAGAACCCCAAAATATAGGGACAGAACCCCAAAATATAGGGACAGACCCCCAGAATATAGGGACAGACCCCCAGAAATAGGGACAGAACCCCAGAAATATAGGGATGCACCCCAGAGAAACAGGGATACACCCCAGAAATAGGGACAGACCCCAGAAATAGGGACAGACCCCCAGAATATAGGGATACACCCCAAAGAAACAGGGACGCACCCCAGAAATAGGGACAGACCCCCAGAAATAGGGACAGAACCCCAAAAATATAGGGAACCACCCCAAAAACAGGGACAGACCCCCAAAATATAGGGACAGACCCCCAGAGAAACAGGGATGCACCCCAAAGAAACAGGGATGCACCCCAAAAATAGCGACAGAACCCCAGAAATAGGGACAGACCCCAAAATATAGGGAACCACCCCAAAAATAGGGACGCACCCCAGAAATAGGGACAGACCCCAAAATATAGGGACAGACCCCAAAGAAACAGGGATGCACCCCAGAGATAGGGACAGAACCCCAGAAATGGGGACAGACCCCCAAAAAATTAGGGATACACCCCCAAAAATAGGGACAGCCCCAAATACAGGGACACCCCCAAAATAGGGACAGCCCCAAAATAGGGACAGCCCCGGGAATGGGACACCCCAAAAATCGGGACACACCCTCCCCCCACGGAACCCCGCCCCCCAAATAAGGGACACCCCAAAACTGGAGCCATCCCCCCACGGGACACCCCAAAATGGGACCCTTCATATGGGACAGCGCCCCCCAAACTGGGACCCCTCAAACTGGAACCACCCCAAACTCCGACCCCCAAACTGGGACCCCCCCCCAAACTGGGACCACCCCAAACTGGGAACCCCAAACTGAGACCCCCACCCCAAACTGGGACCCCCAAACTGGGACCCCCAAACTGGGAACCCCAAACTGGGACCCCCAAATTGGGACCCCTCCTCAAACTGGGATCTCCCAAACTGGGACCCCCACCCCAAACTGGGATCTCCCAAGCTGGGACCCCCCCCAAACTGGGACCTTTCCCCAAACTGGGACCCTCCCCCAAACCAGAACCCCCCAAACTGGGACCCCCAAACTGGGACCCCTCCCCAAAACCCCACACCCCCAAACTGGGAATCCTCAGACTGGGACCACCCCCAAACTGAAACCCCCAAACTGGGACCTTTCCCCAAACCTGGATCACCCCAAACTCAGATCCCTCCCCAAACTGGGACCCCCAAACTGGGACCCCCCAAACTGGGACCCCCCAAACTGAGACCACCCCAAACTGAGACCCCCACCCCCAACTGGGATCTCCCAAACTGGGACCCTCCCCCAAACCAGACACCCCCAAACTGGGACCTCCAAACTGGGACCCCCACCCCAAACTGGGACCCTCCCCCAAACCAGAACCCCCCCAAACTGGGACCCCCCCCAAACTGGGACCCCTCCCCAAAACCCCACACCCCCAAACTGGGAATCCTCAGACTGGGACCCCTTCCAAACTGGGACCACCCCCAAACTGGGACCTTTCCCAAAACTGGGACCCCCCCCAAACTGCCCCCCCCCCCAAAACCAGAACCCCCCAAACTGGGACCCCCAAACTGGGACCCCCAAACTGAGAGCCCCAAACTGGGACCCCCCAAATTGAGACCCCCACCCAAACTGGGACCCCCAAACTGGGACCCCCAAACTGGAACCCTTCCCCAAACCTGGATCACCCCAAACTCAGATCCCTCCCCTAACTGGGACCCCCAAACTGGGATCCCCCAAACTGGGACCCTTCAAATGGGACAGCCCCCCCCAAAATGGGATCCCTCAAACTGGAACCCCTTCCAAATTGGGACCCCCCCCAAACTGGGACCCCCAAACTGAGACCCCCACCCCAAACTGGGACCCCCCCCCAAACCAGGACCCCTCCCCAAACTGGGACCCTCCAAACCAGGACCCCTCCCCAAACCGGGACCCCTCCCCAAACCGGGACCCCTCCCCAAACTGGGACCCCCCCCAAAACAGAACCCCTTATACTGGGACCCCCCCAAACTGGGCCTCCCTCAAACTGGGACCCCTCCCCTAAGTGGGACCCCCCCAAACCGGGACCTCCCAAACCAGAACCCCCCAAACTGGGATCACCCAAACTGAGACCCCTCCCCAAACTGGGACCCCCCAAACCGGGACCCTCCCTCAAACCGGGACCCCCCCAAACTGGGACCCCCCCAAACCGGGACCCCTCCCCAAACCGGGACCCTTCCGCAAACTGGGACCCCCCAAACCGGGACCCCTCCCCAAACTGGGACCCCTCCCAAACCAGAACCCCCCAAACTGGGATCACCCAAACTGAGGACCCCTCCCCAAACTGGGACCCCCCAAACCAGAACCCCCCAAACTGGGATCACCCAAAACAGAACCCCCGCAAACTGGGACCCCTCCCCAAACTGGGACCCCCAAACTGGGAGCTTTCCCCAAATTGGGACCCCCCTCCCCAAACTGGGATCCCCCAAACCAGAACGCCCCCAAACTGGGACCCTCCCCCAATCCGGGACCCCTCCCCTAAACCGGGACCCCTCCCCAACCGGGATCCCCCAAACCGAGACCCCCCTAACTGGGAGCCCGCAAACTGGGATTCCCCAAACTGAGACCCCCCCAAACTGGAACCTTTCCCCAAATTGGGACCCCCCTCCCCAAACTGGGACCCTCCCAAACTGGGACCCCCCCCAAACTGGGATCCCCCAAACCAGGACCCCTCCCCAAACTGGAACCTTTCCCCAAATTGGGGACCCCCCTCCCCAAAACTGGGACCCCCCCAAACCGGGACCCCCCCTCCCCAAACCGGGACCCCGTCCCCAAACTGGGTCCCCCAAGCCCCCCCTTGCCCGTTTTTGGGGTGCCATTGCCGCTGTGTCCCCCAGCCCCGGGTGTGATGGAGGCCGCCGAGGGGGGGGGGCCCCCCCCGAGCCCCCCGAGGCCCCCCCAGATCGGGGAGGGGCAGGACGTGCTGGCACGCTGGACAGACGGACTGCTGTACCTGGGCGTGGTCAAGAAGGTGGGAGCCCAAAATGCCCCAAAAATGGCCCTGAAACTGCCCCAAAAATGGCCCCAAAACAGCTCCAAAACTGCCCCAAACATGGCCCTGAAACTGCCCCAAAACTGCCCCAAACATGGCCCTGAAACTGCCCCAAAACTGCCCCAAAAATGGCCCTGAAACAGCCCTAGAATGGCCCTGAAACTGCCCCAAAAATGGCCCTGAAACAGCCCCAAAACTGCCCCAAACATGGCCATGAAACAGCCCCAAAATGGCAATGAAACTGCCCCAGAATGGCCATGAAACAGCCCCAAAAATGGCCCTGAAACAGCCTCAAAAATGGCCATGAAACAGCCCAAAACTGCCCCAGAACCAGCCCTGAAACAGCCCCAAAATGGCCATGAAATAGCCCCAAAAACTGCCCCAGAACGGACCCTGAAACAGCCCAAAGTACCCCAAAAATGGCCCTGAAACTGCCCCAAAACCGGCCCTGAAACAGCCCCAAAACTCAACCTGGAAATGGCCCCAAAATGGCCCTGAAAACAGCCCCAAAACTGCCCTGAAACAGCCCCAAAAATGGCCCTGAAACTGCCCAAAAATGGCCCTGAAACAGCCCCAGAATGGCCCTGAAACAGCCCCAGAATGGCCCTGAAACAGCCCTAAAACTGCCCCAAAATGGCGATGAAACAGCCCTAAAACAGCCATGAAAACAGCCCCGAAACAGCCCTGAAACAGCCTCAAAGCACCCCAAAAATGGCCCTGAAACTGCCCCAAAACTGCCCCAAACATGGCCCTGAAACTGCCCCAGAATGGTCCTGAAACAGCCCCAAAGCACCCCAAACATGGCCATGAAACTGCCCCAAAAATGGCCCTGAAACTGCCCCAAAAATGGCCATGAAACAGCCCCAAAACTGCCCTGAAACAGCCCCAAAACTGCCCCAAAAATGGCCATGAAACAGCCCAAAACTGCCTGAAACAGCCCCAAAACTGCCCAAAAATGGCCATGAAACAGCCCCAAAACTGCCCTGAAACAGCCCCAAAACTGCCCCAAACATGGCCATGAAACAGCCCCAAAACTGCCCTGAAACAGCCCCAAAACTGCCCCAAACATGGCCCTGAAACTGCCCCAAACATGGCCATGAAACTGCCCCAAAGCACCCCAAACATGGCCCTGAAACAGCCCCAAAGCACCCCAAAAATGGCCATGAAACAGGCCCAAAACAGCCCTGAAACAGCCTCAAAGCACCCCAAAAATGGCCTGAAACAGCCCCAAAAATGGCCCTGAAACAGCCCCAAAAATGGCCCTGAAACAGCCTCAAAGCACCCCAAAAATGGCCCTGAAACTGCCCCAAACCAGCCCAAAACCCAGCCCTGAAACTGCCCCAAACCAGCCCCAAACCAGCCCCAAACCAGCCCAAACACAGCCAGAAAAACACCCCCAAAAAATGGAACCAAAATAGCCCTGAAACAGCCCAAAAATGGCCCTGAAACAGCCCAAAACCAGCCCAAAACCGCCTCTGAAACCCCCTGAACTCCCCCAAACCAGCCCAAAACGTCCCCTACCACCCCAAAACTCCCCTAAATCAGCCCAAAACTCCCCTCAAATTCCCCAAACCAACCCAAACCACCCCAAAATTCTCGCCAAAACCACCACAAAACATCTCAAACCAGCCCAAAACACCCCAAAACCGCCCCAAAAACATCTGTCAACCACTCCTAAAACACCCCAAAACACCCCAAAACAGCCCTAAAACACCCCAAAACAGCCCTAAAACGCCCCCAAACCAGCCCCAATTCCCCAAACCAACCCAAACCAGCCCAAAACGCCCCAAACCAGCCCCAATTCCCCAAACCAACCCACACCAGCCCAAAACGCCCCAAACCAGCCCAAAACACCCCAAAATCACCCCTGAAACTGCCGAAAACAGCCTGAAACACCCCAAACCCAGCCCAAAACCCCCTAAACCCCCCAAACCCACCCCAAAATTGGCTCAAACCCAGCCCCTAAAATCCCCCAAATCCCCCAAAACTCCCCCAAATTCCCTCCAAATCCCCCTAAATCCCCCCCAAATCCCCTGAAAATCCCAAAAATCCCTTGCAAATTCCCTGAAAACCCCAAAATCCCTCAAATTCCCAATCTCTCCAAATCCCGTCCCAAATCCCCCAAATCCTCTCCCAAATCCCCCAAAGTCCCCCAAATCCCCTCAACCCCCCCAAAATCTGCCAACCCCCCTCCCAAACGCCCCAAAATCCCCCAAAATCCACTCGCAAATCCTCCAAACCCCCTCAACCCCCTCAAAATCCCTCCCAAATCCCCTAAAATCCCCCCAAATCCCCCGAAATCTCCCCAAAATCCCCCAAAATTTGCCAAATCCTTCCAAACCCCCTCCCAAATCCCCCCAAATCCTCCAAAATTCCCCCAAAATTCCCCACAAATCCCCATCCCAAATCCCTAAAATCTTCCCAAATCTCCCCAAAATCCCTCCAAATCCCCCCAAATCCCTCCAAACCCCCCCCAAATCCCAAACCCCCCCCAAATCCCCTCCCAAACACCCCCAAACTCCCCAAACAGCCTGAAACACCCCAAATCCAGCCTAAAACTCCCATAAAACCCCAAAATCTGCCAAATCCCTCCAAACCCCCTCCTAAACCCCCCAAATGCCCCCATGATCCCACCACAATCCCTTCCAAATCCACCAAAATCCCCCCAAAATCCACCCAAATCCCCCAAAATCCCCCTCAATCCCCCCAAATCTCTCCCAAATGCCCCCAAATCTCTCCAAACCCCCCGCCCAAATCCCCCAAAATGCCCCAAATCCCCCAAATTCCCCCCCAAAATCCCCTAACATCTCCCAAAATCCCCAAAATCCCTCTCAAATCCTCCAAATCCCATCCCAAATCCATCCAAATCCCCCAATATCCCAAATCCCTCAAAATCCCCCAAATCCCCCAAAATCCTCCCAATCCCCAAATCTCCCCTCCCAAATCCCCAAATCTCCCTCTCAAATCCCCCCCAAATTCCCCAAAATCCCCAAAATCTCCCTCATTCCCCCAAATCCCTCCCAAATCCCCGAAATCTCCCAAAAAAATCCCCCAAATCCGCCCATCCCCCAAATCCCCCTCAAATCCCCAAAATCCCCCAAATCCCCCAAAATCCCCCCCAAAATCCCTCTCAAAACCCCCCAAAATCCCCCAAAATTCCCAAAATCCCCCAAATCCCCCCAATTCCCCTCCCAAATCCCCCCAAATGCCCCAAAATCCCCCTCAATTCCCCCAAATCCCTCCAAATCCCACAAAATCTCCCCAAAAATCCCCCAAAATCCGCCCAATCCCCAAATCCCCCTCAATTCCCCCAAATCCCCCTCAAATCCCCAAAATCCCCCAAATCCCTCCCAAATCTCCCTCAAATGCCCCCAATTCCCCTCCCAAATCCCCCCAGATCCCTCAAAATGCCCCAAATCCCCCCAAAATCCATAAAAATCCCCCCAAAATGCCCCAAAATCCCCCTCAAATCCCCAAAATGCCCCCAAATCCCCAAAATCCCCCAAATTCCCCCAAAATTCCCAAAATCCCCCAAATCCCCCAATTCCCCCCAAATCCCTCAAAATGCCCCAAATTGTCCAAAATCCCCTCCCAAATCCCCTGAAATCTCCCAAAAAAATCCCCCAAAATCCGCCCAACTCCCCCCAAATCCCCCAAAATCCCTCAAATCTCCCTCTCAAATCCCCCAAATCCTCCCCAAACCCCCCAAATCCCTCCCAGATCCCCCAAATCTCCCAAATTCCCCCCAAATGCCCCAAAATGCCCCAAAATCCCCCTCAATTTCCCCAAATCCCTCCCAAATCCCCCGAAATCTCCCCAAAAATCCCCAAAATCGCCCAATCCCCCAAATCTCCCTCTCAAATCCCCCAAAATCCCCCAAAATCCCCCAAATCTCCCCAAATCCCTCTCAAATCCCCCAAAATCCGCCCAATCCCCCAAATCTCCCCAAATGCCCCAAAATCCCCCTCAATTCCCCCAAATCCCCCGAAATCTCCCAAAAAAAAATCACCCCCAAAATCTGCCCAATCCCCAAATCCCTCCAAAATCCCTCAAATCCCCCCAAAATCCTTCTCAAGTCCCCCCAAAATCCCCCAAATCCCCCAAATCCCCGCAAAATCCTCCCAAATCCCCCCAAATTCCCCAAATGTCCGTCCCAAATCCCCTAAATCTCCCTCTCAAATCCCCCCAAATTCCCCAAAATCCCCCCAAATCTCCCCAAAAATCCCCACAAATCCCATCCCAAATCCCCCAAATCTCCCCAAAATCCCCACAAAATCCCATCCAAATCCCCCAAAATTCCCCCAAAATCCCCAAAATCCCCCAATTCCCCAATATCCCCAAATCCCCCAAAATCCCCCCAATTCCCCCAAATCTCCCTCTCAAATCCCCCGAAATTCCCCCAAATCCCCCAAAATCCCCCCCAAATCCCTCTCAAAATCACCTAAAATCCCTCTCAAATCCCCCCAAAATCCCCCCAAATCCCATCCCAAATCCCCCAAATCCCCCAAAATCCCCTCAAATCCCATCCCAAAATCCCCCAAATCCATCCCAAAATCCCCCAAATCCCATCCCAAATCCCCAAATCCCCCCAAAAATCCCAAAATTCCCCAAAATCCCCCCAAAATCCCCGCTCCGTTTCCCGCAGGTGGACGCTGCCCGCCGGGGCTGTTTGATCCAATTCGAGGACAATTCCCAATTTTTCGTTCTCTGGAAAGACATCAGCCCGGGTGAGCCGCAATTCCCCGTGAACCCCTTCATTAGCGGCTCATTAGCGTTAATGAACCCTTAATTAGCGCTTAATGAACCCTTAATTAGCGGTTAATTAGCGCTGATTACGGGTAATGAACGTTCCGTGCGCTCCTGGCGCCCCCCAGCGGCCGTGCCCGGGGATGACCCCGCGTGCTGCGTGTGCGCCGGGAGCGCCCGGAACGCCGAGAATTCCCTGGTGCGGTGCGGGAAGTGCGGCCACGGTCAGTGAAAAAATGGGGAAAAATTGGGGGGAAATGGGGGGAAAATGGGAGGAAATGGGGGGGGGAAATGGGGGGAAAAATTGGGGGAAATGGGGGAAAAAAACCCGGGGAAAAACGGGGAAAAATGGGGAAAAAAATCCCGAAAATTCCCTGGTGCGGTGCGGGAAATGCGGCCACGGTCAGTGAAAAACGGGGGAAAATGGGGGGAAAATGGGGGGAAAATGGGGGGGGAAATGGGGGAAAAAATCCGGGGGGAATGGGGGAAAAAATGGGGAGAAAAAAATCCCGAGAATTCCCTGGTGCGGTGCGGGAAGTGCGGCCATGGTCAGTGAAAAAATGGGGAAAAATTGGGGGGAAAATGGGGGAAAATGGGGGGAAAAATGGGGGGAAATGGGGGGAAAAATTGGGGGAAATGGGGGAAAAAAACCCGGGGAAAAACGGGGAAAAAATGGGGGAAAAAATCCCGAAAATTCCCTGGTGCGGTGCGGGAAGTGCGGCCACGGTCAGTGAAAAATGGGGGAAAATTGGGGAAAAAACCGGGAAAAATTGGGGGGAAAATGGGGGGAAAATTTGGGGAAAAATGGGGGGAAAAACCTGAGAAAAACAAGGGGAAAAAATCCCGAGAATTCCCTGGTGCGGTGCGGGAAGTGCGGCCACGGTCAGTGAAAAACGGGGAAAAATTGGGGGAAAGTGGGGGGAAAATGGGGGGAAAATAGGGGGAAAATGGGGGGAAAATAGTGGGAAAAATGGGGGGAAAAATCCGGGGGGAATGGGGGAAAAACGGGGGAAAAAATCCCGAAAATTCCCTGGTGCGGTGCGGGAAGTGCGGCCACGGTCAGTGAAAAAACGGGAAAAACGGGAAAAAAACCGGGAAAAACCGGGGAAAATTGGGGGGAAAATGGGGGGAAAATGGGGAAAAAATGGGGGAAAAAAATGGGGAAAAAATCCCGAAAATTCCCTGGTGCGGTGCGGGAAGTGCGGCCACGGTCAGTGAAAAACGGGGAAAAATGGGGGAAAACGGGGGAAAAATGGGGGGAAAACGGGGGAAAAATGGGGGGAAATGGGGGGAAAAAACTCGGGGAAAAACGGGGAAAAAATGGGGGAAAAAATCCCGAGAATTCCCTGGTGCGGTGCGGGAAGTGCGGCCACGGTCAGTGAAAAAACGGGGAAAAATTGGGAAAAACAGGGGGAAAATGGGGGGAAAATGGGGAAAAAAAACCGGGGAAAAACGGGGAAAAAAATCCCGAAAATTCCCTGGTGCGGTGCGGGAAATGTGGCCACGGTCAGCGAAAAAAATGGGGAAAAATTGGGGAAAATGGGGGAAAATGGGGGAAAATGGGGGGGAATAGGGGGGAAAATGGGGGGAAATGGGAAAAAAAAAACGGGGAAAAACGGGGAAAAAATCCCGAGAATTCCCTGGTGCGGTGCGGGAAGTGCGGCCACGGTCAGTGAAAAACGGGGAAAAATTGGGGGGAAAATGGGGGGGAAATGGGGAAAAAACCTGAGAAAAACAGGGGGAAAAACCCGGGAAAAATGGGGGAAAAATAGGGGCAAAAAGGGAGAAAAATGGGGGGAAACCCAGGAAAATCGGGGAGGGAAGATGGGAGAAAAATGGGAAAAATGTGGGGGGGAAAATGGGGAGAAAACGGAAAAAATGGGAAAAAACGGGAAAAATGTGTCTGCAAGGGAAATTCCTAAAATCCCGAAAATTCCCTGGCCTGGTGTGGGAAGTGCGGTCAGGGGAAAAATGGGGAAAAAATGGGAAAAATGGGGATAAAAATGGGGATTAAAATGGGGATAAAATGGGAAAAATGGGGATTAAAATGGGGTTAAAAATGGGGATGAAAATGGGGATAAAAATGGGAAAAATGGGGATAAAAATGGAAAAAAATGGGGATGGAAATGGGGTTAAAAATGGGATGAAAATGGGAAAAAAATGGGGATAAAATGGGGATGAAAATGGGGATAAATGGGAAAAAATGGGGATAAAATGGGGATGAAATGGGAAAAATGGGGATAAAAATGGGATAAAAATGGGGATAAATGGGGATAAAAATGGGAAAAAATGGGGATAAAAAATGGGGATAAAAATGGGGATGAAAATGGGAAAAATGGGGATAAAAATGGGGATAAAATGGGGATGAAAATGGGGATGAAAATGGGGATAAAATGGGAAAAATGGGGATAAAAATGGGGATGAAAATGGGGATAAAATGGGAAAAATGGGGATAAAAATGGGGAAAAATGGGGATAAAAATGGGAAAAATGGGGATAAAAATAGGACAAAATGGGGATAAAAATGGGAAAAAATTGGGATAAAAATGGAGATGAAAATGGGGATGAAAATGGGGATAAAATGGGAAAAATGGGAAAAAATGGAGATAAAAATGGGAAAATTGGGATTAAAATGGGAAAAAATTGAGATAAAAATGGGAAAAACGGGGATAAAATGGGATGAAAATGGGAAAAACGGGAAGAAAAACCCAGGGAAAACAGGGAAAAAATGGGGGAAAACGGGGAGAAAAATTGAGGAAAAACAGGGAAAAAACGGGGGGGAAATGGGAAGAAAAAAGGGAAAATTTGGGATAAAACCAGGGGGAATTGGGAGAAAAATGGGGAAAACAGGAAAAAAAGAGGAGAAATGGGAAAGAGGGGGCAGGGGTGGGAAAATCAGCGCCCAAAATTCCAGAATTTCACCTGAAATTTAAAATAAATCTGGGAAAAGGGGGAAGGGGTGGGAAAAGCTCCTCAGAGGGGGGAAAAATGGGAAAAAATGGGGGAAAAATGGAAAAAAATGGGTATAAAAATGGGGATAAAATAGGAAAAAATGGGGATAAAAATGGGGATCAAATGGGAAAAAATGGGGATAAAAATAGGAAAAATGGGAATAAAAATGGGAATAAAAATGGGAAAAAATGGGAAAAAATGAGGATAAAAATGGGAAAAGATGGGGATAAAAATGGGAAAAAATGGGGATAAAAATGGGAAAAATGGGAATAAAATGGGAATAAAAATGGAAAAATGGGATAAAAATGGGGATAAAATGGGGAAAAAATGGGGATAAAAATGGAAAAATGGGAATAAAAATGGGAAAAAATGGGATAAAAATGGGGCAAATGGGCAAAAAATGGGGGAAATGTGGGAAAATGGGAGATAAAATGGGGAAAATGGGAATAAAAATGGGAAAAAATGGGGATCAAAATGGGGATAAAATGGGATAAAAATGGGAAAAATGGGGATAAAAATGGGGAAAAATGGGCAAAAAATGGGGGAAAACTGGGATTTGGGTGGGGAAAATGGGAAAAGGGTGGGAAAATGCCCTCAAAAGTGGAGAAAATGGGGAAAATGGGGAAAAATGGGAATTGGGTGGGGAAATTGGAATGGGAGTGGGAAAAGTGGGAATGGGGTTGGGAAATGGGGAAAATGGGAATTTTAATGGGAAAATGGGAGAGGGGTGGAAAATCCCCTGAAAAGTAGAAAAAATGGGAAAATGGGGGGAAATGGATTGGGATGGGAAAATGGGAATGGAGTGGGAAAATGAGGGGAAAATGGGAAAAATGGGGGAAAACTGGGATTTGAGTGGGGAAAATGGGAAAAGTGGAATGGGGTGGGAAATGGGGAAAAATCCCGGGAGGAACAGGGAAAATATGGGGGGAAAAATGGGGGGAAAAAGTGGATTTGGGCCCAAAAAACACCAAAAAAAAAAAAGGGAATTTGGAGGGAAAAGATGGGGAGAGGTTGGGGGAAGGGAGGGGGCGGGATTGGGGCGGGATCGGGGCGGGATCGGGGCGGGATTGGGGCGGGATTGGGGCGGAACTGGGGCGGGATTGGGGCGGGATCGGGGCGGGATCGGGGCGGGAATTGGGGCGGAACTGGGGCGGGATTGGGGCGGGATTGGGGCGGGATTGGGGCGGGATTGGGGCGGGATTGGGGCGGAACTGGGGCGGGATTGGGGCGGAACTGGGGCGGGATTGGGGCGGGATTGGGGCGGGATTGGGGCGGGAATTGGGGCGGAACTGGGGCGGGATTGGGGCGGGATTGGGGCGGGATTGGGGTGGAATTTGTGCGGGATTGGGGCGGGATTGGGGCGGGATTGGGCGGGATTGGGCGGGATTGGGGCGGGATTGGGGCGGGATTGGGGCGGGATTGGGGCGGGATTGGGGCGGGATTGGGGCGGGATCGGGGCGGGATTGGGGCGGGATCGGGGCGGGATCGGGGCGGGATCGGGGCGGAACTGGGGCGGGATTGGGGCGGGATTGGGGCGGGATCGGGGCGGGATTGGGGCGGGATTGGGGCGGGATTGGGGCGGGATTGGGGCGGAACTGGGGCGGGATTGGGGCGGAACTGGGGCGGGATTGGGGCGGGATTGGGGCGGGATTGGGGCGGGATTGGGGCGGGACTGGGGCGGGATTGGGGCGGGATTGGGGCGGGATTGGGCGGGATTGGGGCGGGATCGGGGCGGGATTGGGGCGGAACTGGGGCGGGATTGGGGCGGGATTGGGGCGGGATTGGGGCGGGATTGGGGCGGGATTGGGGCGGAACTGGGGCGGTATAGGGGCGGGATCGGGCGGGATTGGGGCGGGATCGGGGCGGGATTGGGGCGGGATTGGGGCGGGATCGGGGCGGGATCGGGGCGGGATCGGGGCGGGATTGGGGCGGGATTGGGGCGGAACTGGGGCGGGATTGGGGCGGGATTGGGGCGGGATTGGGGCGGGATTGGGGTGGAATTTGTGCGGGATTGGGGCGGGATTGGGGCGGGATTGGGGCGGGATTGGGGCGGGATCGGGGCGGGATTGGGGCGGATCGGGGCGGGATCGGGGCGGGATCGGGGCGGGATTGGGGCGGGATCGGGCG